TTTGAAGAGGCAGAAGAACCAGAGACCAAAATGCCAACATTCACTAGATTACGGAGAAAGCAACAGAGTTCCAGAAAAACATCTACTTCTGTTTCATTCACTACACTAAAGCCTTTGATTGCGTGGAACACAGCAAAATGTGGCCAGTCATGCAAGAGACGGGAGGACCAGATCATCTTACTTGTATGTGGGCCAAGAAGCCACAGTTAGAACTGGCCATGGAAAAACAGATTAGTTTAAGACTGGAAAAGGAGTAGGACAAGGTTGTATATTGTCACCTTATTTATTTAACTCATATACAGAGTACATCATGCAAAATGCTAGGCTAGATGAATCAACAGCTGGAATTAAGATTGCTGGAAGATATATCAACAGTCTCAGATATGCAGATGATACCACTGTGACAGCAGAAAGTGAAAAGGAATTAAGAATCCTCTTGCCAAGGTGAAAGAAGAGGGTGTAAAAGCTGGCTTGAAGCTTAACATCAAAAAAACTAAGATCTTGGCAACTGGTCCCATCACTTCCTGGCAAATAAAGGGAGGAGAAATGGAAGCAGTGTCAGGTTTTACATTCTTGGGCTCAAAGGTCACTGCAGATGGTGAATTAAAAGACACTTGCTCCTCGGAAGGAAAGCTATGGCAAATCCAGGCAGCATACCAAAAAGCAGAGACATCACCTTGCTGACAAAGGTCTGTAGAGTCAAATCTATGGTTTTTCCACTAGCCATGTATGGCTGTGAGAGTTGGCCTATGAGGAAAGCCGAGCACAAGAGAATCAATACTTCCAATTTTTGAGAGTTCTTTGGACAGCAAGGAGATCAAATCAGAAATTAATTCAGGCCGTTCACTGGAAGGACAAATACTGAAATCGAAGCTTAAATATTTTGGCCACATAATGAGTGGATGGGACTCACTGGAAAAGACTCTGATGGTGGGAAAGATTGAAGGCAAAAGGAAAAGGGGATGGCAAGAGGATAAGACGGATAGATAGTATCATGGAAGTAATGAACAAAGACTTGGACAGACTCTGAGCAATAGTGGAGCATACCAGGGTCCAGGGGGTCACAAAGAGTCGGACACGACTGAGCAACAGTAACATTCCTCCTACGTGAGTTTTCTGCCTCCTCCTTAACATATGAACACCTGGTGATCGCCCTTACCTGTCCTCTCTGTTATTATATCAGTTGGGGGATTAATCTCTCTCTCTCTGCTTTCGTTTGTTGGTTTTGGTGAGGCAATTGGGGTTAAGTGACTTGCCCAGGGTCACACAGCTAGTAAGTGTCAGATGTCTAAGGCCGGATTTGAACTCAGGTCCTCCTGACTCCAGGGCTGGTGCTCTATCCACTGTGCCACCCAGCTGCCCCTGCCCTGATTAATGTCCTCCCGGTGCCTCGTCATAAACCATGACTCAGTCAGGCTTTCATCCATCAGCATTTATCACAAAAGATTTCAGTTTGCTCTTCTCAATTGAGCAGCTGGCCTGCCTGGTTTCCTAAGGCCCTGCTCTCAGTAGCAGTAGTGTGGCCTTCAAAATCTGGATTCAGATGAGGCCAGCTGACCTCTTTGCCAGCTAGAAGCTGCTTGGGCCCTGTTCTTAAACCTTTTCTTATTGGAGGAAAGAATGCTCTCGGCCAGGCCCTTCTGGCACTGGACTGGTGTCTGCTTCGCCTGTCCTGCCCATTGCAGGCCTCACTTGTTAGGTGTTTCTCCTTTGAGCTCTTTCTTTCTTATTTATTTTTTGCTTAGGCCCAGGGTCACACAGCTGGTAAGTGTCAAGTGTCTGAGAACAGATTTGAACTCAGCTCCTCCTGACTCTAGGGCTGGTGCTCTATCCGCTGCGCCACCTCGCTGCCGCCTTTCCAGTCTTCTTACACCTTGCTCACCCCTACTGTATTCTTTCATGGTCCAGGGACCGTGCCTGGACTCCTCTCTGCCCCTTGACTTGCCTGGCTTCCTTCACGGTCCAGCTCAAACTCCTCCTTGAGACAAGAAGCCTTTCCTCATCCCTGATTAGTCCCTAATTAGTGCCAGGATCTTCCCTCTACTGCTTATCTCCAACCTTTCCAGCCTAGGCCTTGTATCTACCCAGTTATCAGTGTGTTGTCTGCCCAACCCCCATCAGCCGAACTCCTTCAGAAAACGGAGTCTTCGCCCCACTGCCTGTACACAGTGTATGCTCACTAGGTGACTGTTGATTGACTGGCTGAGTCACGTGGGAGGGACAGGGCCACGGAACCAGGTGAGTTGGGGAGCAGGGTGCAGGTAGGTGGAGAGCACTGGAGGCAGCCTCTTGAGTGCGGAGGGAGGGAGAGAGGGGGGGAGGGGGGAGGCAGGTGGATATAATGAACTGCATGCCAGGCAGGCCTGTGCGGGGTAGGAAGAAGAGGCTGGTGCCAAGCAGGAGAGCTTCCTTGAACTTACAGGTGGCACACCTGTGGGCTATGCAGGTGCATTGGCGGTGCGGGGGGGGGGGGGGGGGGGAACGCGCGGCTCTGGGTTCAGGTGCAGCTCGGCTTGTGTGTGGAGGGTTTGAGCAGCGAGAAGCCTGGTTTCGCTTGGTCTGCTTTGTATAAGGAGAAGACAACGGAGGACCAGGTGGACTGGCCGCACGCTTAGCATCACTTTTTGGCCTATTAAAGGCTAAGTAGAAACACAAGATTTAATATAAAAGTGACTGAATCAATCTTAAATCTAAAACTTGGAATCACGCAAAAGAAGGTCCCTTTGTGCAAAGACTATACGGAGATTGTCTGCTATGTGTCTACAGAGAGGAAATCCATGATACTTCCCACATATGCCATGAGATGTCAAAATGGTCTGAACACTTTAAAAAAGTTCCTCCCCACCCCCAACACTGATCTTCCTACTGTCATGCATATTTTAATCCCATGAAAGCCCAGCTGACTTGCAGAACCCATTTCTAAGATGTGATGAAGTTACCTCCTAACCATGTATGGGACTGGTTGAAAAGCTGCGATAAAAGAGTCCCAGGTGAGGTAGCTGGATCTATGGGGGCACAGAGTAACCACTGATTTTAATACATCACACAAATACAACTATGTTCCAAAGAAGTGGCAGTTACCCACAACTATTTTAATCTATTTTTAAAAAAAAAGGTAATGGGAGTCTCCTCCTCACCTAGAGACCTCTACTCCTGGGTAACAACAAGAGTGAGGGTTTATGCCTCGGTCCTTTCTAAAAGACTCTTTGATTGGAGTATGAGAAATGGAGACACCAGCAGGAATCAAAAAGGTTTCATGCATCGAACATGATTTCTTATTGCAATCCATCTTGGATGAAACCAAGAATAAAAGGAAAATGTGTGTAGTATTTGCATGAGGAAGCCAGTTATCCTCATAGAAAGACTCTACTGGGAAAATAAGACTTCTGTACACACTAGAGGTGGCCTCATACCAATAAACTATTAATAGCTAACATTTATAAAGTGACTCAAACTTTACAAACATTGTCGCATTTGATCTTCACCACCATCCCCAAGAGGTAGGTGCTATTATTATTCCCGTTTCACAGATGGAAATACTGAGTTGCTTAGGGTGACATAGCCAGTGTCTGAGGCTATATTTAAACTCAGATCTTCCGAACTCCAAGCCCAGGACTCTACCAACTACATACCTAGCTGCACCACGGATCAACATTCAGGAGAGGCTGAGGCAGGGCTACCCTGCTCAGCCCCATATTTCTCAACTTAGTACTGGAGCTAACAGTTAAGCGCCCTGACAAGGGCAGGATGAGGGTGTCATTTGTATGTTAGAAAAATCAGCTTCCTGGCACACACAGACAATCTGGCCCTGGCAGCCGACACCCCAGGGTCCCTGACCAAAATCCTGCACGACATAAGGGAATTTGGGGCAGGATTACATTTGAAGGAGACCAAATGGGCATCATGGTTGATTAAAGCCTTGGAAGAAGAGGGTACTCCCCACTCAATTCCAAATACAAAATCAGGGGTCTGAGTAATGAATGTCTGAAGAATTTCCCTTAGAATCCTCATGGGGTTCCACGCTGCACATTCTGCCAAGGATTTAATAACTACTATGACTCCAGACTTAGACCTCTTGGACAAGTCTAGATTGGCTACTTGGCAGAAAATAGGCACAGTGAATCCTTTCACCGCCCCTGCTATGTCCTCCCACCTTAAGAGCAGTGTGGTCCTCAAGGGTGTCCTTACACTCTTGGACGGAACAATTTAAAAGATTCTGAGAAGGCTACCCTTCCTCTAAAGAGCCAGCATTGATCCTCTGTACCTCTCCTATACAATGAGAAGAACGAATCTGCCACCCTCAGTGCTTTAGGCTTCTGACAGCTGATCTCAGTCAACTCTCCCATCTGTGCTTTAGTCCTCCATAGGAATAGAACCAAATGTGACTTTCAACCAGAAGACCTGGCCACTTATTTAAATGGCTCTACGGGAAGGAGGATTTGGACACAAGGTGCTGGTAGCATTTAAAATCTGGTCCTGGCTGTGAGACTGTCAGCTAAAATACTGATTGAGTAGAGAGTAAATAATGGTGTCTTGGCACTATGGCTGACAACAGACTTTGACAGTCTGTTGGCCCTCTAAAGAGTAGAGAGGCATTTGACATATTTGCTGAGTATTATTTTAAATAGCAGCCAGTCTGCAAACCCAGCCAGGGTCAAGTATATTCCATTACTTCCATAGTTGCGGCCTTAATTTTTTTTTTTAATGAGGAAGGGATCCTTTGCCTACTCGTGTACTGGGGAATCATTCATGTATCCTGACTGGACATTGAATAGGGTGAGAAGATTTGGTATCCAACAAAAGCACTGATTTCCTTGTGGGGCATCAAATGAAATTCCCACCATCCTCTGCCACTGTGAGTCCTTCCTTCTCGAAGAAGACCAAAATGACATCACTATGTTGGGGTCAAGGTACAGTGTGTCTCACTGTGGCTGATCAGACTAATACTAGCTCAGAAGGCTCTATCACAGCTTGGACACAAATAGTCCACGTGAACATCTGGGGTGGAGATGCCTCTAAATCTGTGCATTTCAGGTTCTTTTGAGCTACTGCAATGCCCCTTCACTCAGAGAGCTAGGCGCCTTCTTTGAGGTGGGCAGGCCACGTGGGGTGGCCCTGTGTCTCCCCAGGCCACACAACTGATTCCAAATTTCCACAGAGACCTCGGGAGTGTCCTTGTATGGCTTCTTCTGCTCTCCATATAAGCACTTGCCTTATGTGAAGTCTCTATAAAACAGTCTTTCAGGAAAACATGTTTGGAGATTGGACAAAAGTGGCCAGCCCATCAGAGTTGGACTCTCTGCAGAAGAATCTGAATGCACGGCAGTTTAGTTGGAGAAAGGACCTTGGTGTCTGGCACCTGATCCCGCCAGGTGAGCTTCAGAACCTTCCTAAGACAATTCAAAGGCACACAATCCAGCTTCCTGGCATGGTGCTGGCATTCTGTCCGGGCTCCACGGGCATACAAGGAGGTCAGGCTGTGTGGGGGCGGGGAGAGGGCAGCAAGCACAATGCACTCCACAGAACACAGCAGCGCCACTCTTCTCAGTGGGGGGCCCGCGCTCGGCCTGCATCTGGGACCGCTGGGACCCCCGAGCCGCTGATCTCTTGCGCCCCTTTTCCTATCACGAGGCTTTGGCGCGGTTCACCCCGACATGGAACAGAGAGCGGGCGGGATCCCGGCCTCCGCTCGGCCGAGCGCTCCAGAGGACCCCTGGAGTGGGGGGTGGGGCCAGCCTCTCTCGGGACCCCGGAGGCCCAACAGAACGCACCAGCGCTCTCGGCTCAGCCTTCGCGGCGCCGCTCCCGCAGCTCTGAGCTCGCTCCCGCCCCGCGGCGCGCCTTCCGCTCCTGCTCCCGGAACGTTCCTTACAAGAACCGCCGCTTCCTACCCGGACGGTTTTGAAGGCGCATCCGGTGGCCCCGGGCGGCGAGGCCGGAAGCGATGCTCGGGAGACCGGCCCTCTCCTTCCTCCGCCCCTCTCCCCCGGAAGTTGCCGAGCGGAAGTGTCATGGCGGCGTCGGCGTGCTGGAATCACGTGTGGGTCGGCTCGGAGACCGGGATCTTGAAAGGTGAGCGGGGCCGGGCCGGGGGCGGGGGCGGCCGGGGCCGGGGCCGGGCCAGGTCGGGTCGGGGCGCTCACCCCCGCGCTCTCCCGCCGCAGGCGTGAACCTGGTCCGGAAGCAGGCGGTGAACTTCACGGAGGCGGGGGGTAGGCCACGGCGCGAGGAGGAGGTGAACGCTCTGTGCTGGGCGGACGCGGCCGAGAGCCAGGTGAGGCCCGGGGCGACTGGGGGCGGGGCCGGGAAAGGGGCGGGGCGCCACCGCCCCCCGGCAGGCCGTCGGGATTCCTCCTTTTGGGATGTGGGGGGCTCCGGTTAAACGAGGAGGGAGCTCCAGGGCGACGACCCCCGCCCCTACTCCAGGCTCCTTCGGGCTCCGGACCCGGGGATCCTCCGCGTTGTACGACCCGGGGGGCCAGGACGCAGAAGGAGGCGCAGGACCCCCGAGGAAGCCAACTGCCCAAAGAAGGGAGCCCCCTATCGAACCCCGGCCTCCCTGTCGAACCTCCCCTCCCCCTCTCGCCAGGGCTGGGGCTCCCCGTGCCCCGTTGTCTTGTATTGAGAGTAGGCCGCCCTCCTTTTACTCGCCCCTATGCGGCTGAGTATTGGGGGGCGGAAGGTAATGGTGATGTAATGATAGCAGCCGACACTTGTTCAGACTTGGCAAAGCGTCGTAAAAGCGTCTCCATCGATAAAGTGAGATATCTGTAAAGTGATGTAGGTGATGTGCCTGTTGTCCCCATTTAAATTTGAGAAAATTAAGGGAGGGCTGAGTGTGGGGCACTTCCAGGAGGATCCAGGGGTTTAGAGTGAAAAGAACCTCCCGGTCGGCTTCTGCCCCCCTTATTTGACAGGTGAGAAACTGAGGCTTGGTGAGGTTCCTAAGTACCTTCTCCACTGTCCAACTGGGAGGGAGAGGTCGAGACCCAAACACTGGCCTTTTAAATCCAGGTCTGGAAGGCCTGGAAGGAGCAGGTGCCCATTTGTGTGACAGCAGATAGTCCAGTTTGGCCTGAGTGTAGAGAGTTGGAAGAGGGGATTAGAGCTGGTTGTGGAAGGCCTCGAACACTGGGCCGAGGTCTTGGTCATTTAGGTTGATGAGGAGAGGGCAGTGCAGCACCATTTATTGGAAAAACACAGGACTGAAAAAGACCTGACCTCCAAGTGTGGTTCTGTCACTTCCTACCTTCATGGTCTTGAGGTCAGCCACTTCTCCTCCTTTGGGCCTCAGTTTCCCCATCTGTAAAATGAGTTGTTAGACTAGATGGCCTTTTAAAGTACTTTCTGGCTCTAAATGTTATGAAGATTATTTGGACGGTTGTAGGAAGGACAGCCTAGATAGGTCTGGTGGTAAACTGTAGTGAGAGCTAAAATAGGTGGAGAGAAGAGGGTGAGATGATGACCTGACCCCACGCCTCCCATCTGCCTTTCTCTGTTCCACTCCTCTGGGATCCTCTTACTGGGTAGTGTTATATGCATTATCACCAGAAGATAGCTTCTGATGCCTGGTGCTGTGGACAGAGCCCACCCTGGGCTCTTGAAGAAAGCTAATCCTACCAGGCCAGAAAGGCCTGCCTGCCATCCACTGTAGAGATCAAGTGGGAAAATTAATAGTGATTTTGTATCTTATATTTGGTGTTTCTCTGTAAGTGACTATTTTGTAACGATATTCTGCATTCTATGTAACAAACCTAAGCCTCTTATTTTTCTCTGAGTATAGAAACTCATGAGTTCAAAAGTTCAGCCTCCCTGGATGAGATTAGATACTTAAGGTTTAACCTTTTCCATAACTGTCAGTTAAAGAAAAACTGGTATCTCAGCATTACCTACAAGGTTGGTGTGTTGTCCTTGAGAAGCAGACTGGCTGGCCTTGTCTCATCTTTAACCTCATATATGTCCATTAAAAAGGTGGTTGTATCTAATCTTCAGGTGCCAGCGAGCCTACATCCCTGGGTGCTATCAGTGACCTTGGGATGCAGCTGGGACCCATATATTCACAAAAACATTCCCCAGAGATAGAGAGGTGGGCTCCATCCCCCATGGGTGCACTCTGCTCACTGTAATGTAACCAGTCATGATCCCTTACCCGAGATGCTACACAGTTAGGATTTTTGTTCTATGTTTATAAAAATGAGAGCCAGCTTCAGTTCTGGATCTTTGGCTAGAAACTGAGGCAGGCTATTGACCTGTTTTATTGTCTGGTAGCACCCCTATTAATAAGCCATACTCTTTTTTTTTTAAGGCAATTGGGGTTAAGTGACTTGCCCAGGGTCACACAGCTGGTAAGTGTCAAGTGTTTGGTCTGAGGCCAGATGTGAACTCAGGTCCTCCTGACTTCAGGGCCAGTGCTCTATCCACTGCACCACCCAGCTGCTCCTAAACCATACTCTTGCTTGGAAAAGTGTCCCTTAGTTTACCTTTTTGTAAAATTTCACAGAAGCAGTCAACTGCAAGTATTTATTGATCGCCTGCTGTGTACCAGACCCTGTGCTAGGTGGTGGGGATATAAGTATAAATAATAATAAAAGCAACACTGATAACAATTAGAGTTTTACAGAGTAATAACTACATGAGGAATAAGAGCTGGCATTTGTAAAGGGCTGTAAGGTTTGCAGAGTACTTTATGTAAAGTAGTTTCAGTATGAGGTTGCCTGGGAGAGCCAGGGGCTCAGGCTCACAGGCATCAGTGGTTGGGATCAGTCCTCAAGCTGACTTCAAAGTGGTGCGTGTGTTTGTTTCCAGCAGTGATGCCAGCTGCTCTTCCAGTGTGGAGGGAAGCCTTGACCTGTGTTGGGCACCCATTGACAGAATCAGGCCCAGCCTTCATATTATGTGTTCCAGTTGTCTATGTTTGTGTCCTAGCTAGGGGAGTTTGTGAAGTCAGGAACCCTGTCCAGCTTAGCATGGCTTTATGCACAGCAATTCTGCATCCAGTAGGCACTTAAATAGGAACTCCCAGGATTCAGAGCCCCACGAGGAAACCTGGGGAAACGTTTGTCCAGGTGAATGGAATCCAACCCAGATGCTTGCTCCTCCCCTCCCCACAGATTCTAATCGGCTGTGCCAATGGGACTGTCAAATCCTTCAGCACAGAAGAGGGCAAGTTCCTGAGCAGCCGGCGCTGTCCAGGAGGAGAAGGAGCTTTTCGCGGACTTGCGCAGCATGATGGGTAAGGGCCCCAAACCACTACCTTCCTTCCCTCCTCCCCAATCCTGGCTCCAGTCTGGAGAATCTCTCCTCTTTTCTTGCCAGCTCTGAGTTCAGTTGCCAACCCCACCCCCTACCCCCAGCAGATCCTGGTCCTGGGCTTCTTGCCCAGCACGCCAGGTTCCCGATTACCCTCTGATCATATATGGCTTGGCGGGGGGGGGGGGCAGGATGCACTGGGAGCCGTTCTTGGGACTGAGCCAGGAAGAAGAGGTGGAGGAGGGAGGCGTGTGGCCTGAGAGTTGAACTCACACAGAGGGGCGCAGCCAGCAGAACTTCCTTCCTTTGGGGGCTCAGCTGGGCTTCATCTGTCACCTCTTTTTACCCTCACTCCCTTCTACTCCACTGTGTCTGCAGCTGCCTCATCACTTGTGTGGAGTCTGGGATTCTCCGCGTCTGGCCTGAGGAGTCCTCTGCACATGTGAGGGCTGTTTCTTTTCCTTTATTTATTTAGGAAAGTAGTTTTGGTGGTGGTTGTTGGGTTTGGGTTTTGTTTGTTAGAAGCAAATATCCAGATGTTCCAACAGAAAGGAAGGACACATGAGACACAAAATTTCCACTATTGGTGGAATTTGTATATAATTTTAAATTGTGTAGCTTGATTAACTGTAAAGAGCCGCAACCCGTTCATTGGGGTGGGTCTGTTTCCCTTCTGAAAATGTTTTTCTTCAGTGCATTTCTCAGGATTCTGCTGTTGTTTTTTCTCATCGTGAACATTGTCATTGTTGTCATCCTCAGTGCTTGTATTTGCTTCTTTATTCAGTCTTGCCACGCCATTTGTCTTCCTCTGTGTGTTCTTCACAGTTCACTTTGTAAAATGTGGCCATATGCCGTGACGGTTTGTTCAGTCATTCCCCACTGCTTAGATGTGTGGATCATCTCCCATTTTTACTGCCATGAGTGTTTCTGTAAAGATAGGTCCTTTTATGCCTAACTTTAGAGAAAGCCATGTTTCTTTCCCAACAGGGTCTGACAGGTGGTAAGTCTGTCAGCCTTGTAATAGTGGCCTTGGTTCGTTTTTCTTTTTTAATAGAATTTTATTTCTTTTTCCAATTAACAAAAATCTCTTTCCTCAATTGGGGGGCCAGGGGTGGGGTGGGGTGTGGTAAGAGCCCTTGTCACAAATAGACACAGTCAGGCAAACCAGATTGCGCAATTTACCTGCTTCCTCCTGCATCTTGAGTTCATCTCCTCTCTATCAGGAGATGGACAGCTTGCTTCGTTATTGGTCGTCAGGGATTCTGGGGTTGGTGGATCATTGCGTTGGTCAGTTTTTTAAGCCTTTCAAAGTTAATTTTTTTTTTGGTTAGTCAATGGGTTAAAGTGACTTGCCCAGGGTCACACAGCTAGTAAGAGTTATGTGTCTCAGGCCAGATTTGAACTCAGGTCCTTCTGAATCCAGGGCTGGTGCTCTATCCACTGCGCCACCTAGCTGCCCCAAAGTTAATTTTCTTTACGGTACAGTTCTGATTGTATACATTGTTCTCCTGGTTCTCCTTATTTCATTCCATGTCCCAGTCTTGGAAGTCTTCCCGGGCTTCCCTGAAACTGTCCATTTCATCATTTGTTAAGGCACAGTAGTAGTCCATTAGAGCCACATAATGTAATTTGTTAAGCCATTTCATTCCCCAGTTGACGGACATCTCCATAATTTCAAGTTCTTTGCCACCACACAAAGAGCTGCCATTGATATTTTTTTTTCCTGTTTCTTTGATCTCTTTGGGGTAGAGACCAAGTACGCTGGTAGTGTTTCTGAGTTAGTGTCTGCAAAGTTCAGTAACTTTGGGAACAGAGTTCCAAATTCTTTTCCCAAAGGGCTGCTCTAATTCATGTGAGATTTTTTTCCCCACTTTTTTGGGGGGGGGTTAGGCAGTGGGTTTAAGTGACTTGCCCAGGGTCACACAGCTAGCAAGTGTTATGTGTCTGAGGCCAGATTTGAACTCAGGTCCTCCTGAATCCGGGGCCTGTGCTCTATCCACTGTGCCACCTAGCTGCCCCTTCCCACAGTTTTTGAGAGTGAGTGGTGAGGACTGACAGGAGGCTGAGCTTGTCTATGCTGGCATCCCCCCAGAAGACTCATGGCCGGCTTTGGAGGTGGGAGTAAGGTTGGACCCCCCAGTATTTGAAGGAAGTATTTGAATCCAGCTTGCTCATTTTACAGAGCAAGAAACAAACCCAGAGAGAGGACAAGACCTTCCCTAGTCACAGTGACATTAAGTGGCAGTTTAGAGCCCAGATCCTTGGATTCCAAATGCAAACCTCAGTGACACGACAGCTGCCTCTCTGCAACTGCCCTTTTATATTAGGAAGCTGACCGTCGTTGGAGATGGGCAGAGGCAAACGTTGCTGATCTCTGGGCTCCCTTTGGGCCCTAAAATACTGTGATACTGGGAGGAGTATCCCCTACCCTCCCCTGTGTTCCCTTCTGTCACAGATCAAAGAGCTCAATGTGGGCCCAAGCGTGTGCAGGATGTGCCAGGACCCTGATCGACCCTACATAGTGGCCACCGGTGGGAAGGAGAATTCACTGAAGGTCTGGGATCTGCAGACGTCGTCCCAGGAGCCCATATTCGGGGCCAAGAATGTGAGTGATGGGCTCTGGGCAGGGATGTCAAGCGGGATGCCAGGGTGGGAGTCATAGGAGTGTCTGCCGGGTCACTGCTAGTCAAGTAGAAGTGGGTCTGATCCCGTGCCCCCTTTCTAGGTCCGCAATGACTGGTTGAATCTCCGGGTTCCCATCTGGGACCAGGACATCCACTTCCTTCCAGGGTCACAGAAGATCGTCACGTGCACTGGACATCACCAGGTAAGAAAGCAGAGCTATGGGCCCTGGGCTTTGCCTGGATGCAGGACCTGGCCCAATGACCGCTTGTACTTTCCAGCACTTTTGCTGGCCCTCTTCATCTCCCCATCAAGCACGCATTAAATTCTACTGTTTGCTAGGCACTGTGCTAAGTTGGGGATACAAGTGTCAAAAATGTACCAGTTAGGGAGGGAGGGCGGGCACCAGTTGGGAGAATCAGAGACTTCCTTTCGACGGTGGAAGTGGGGAATGGGCATTCCAGGCTTGGAGGATGGCCATGCCAGTGAACTGAGATTGGAGACAGTTTGTCGGTCCTGGACATGGTTAGTAGGGGCTAGGTTGTGAGGAGTTTTAAAAGGCAAACAGGAGGGGCAGCTGGGTGGCACAGTGGATAGAGCACGGGCCCTGGAGTCAGGAGGACCTGAGTTCAAATCCAGCCTCAGACACTTGACACGTACTAGCTGTGTGACCCTGGGCAAGTCACTTAACCCCATTGCCTAGCAAAAAAAAAAAAAGGCAAACAGGAGCTTTGATGTGATTGTTGAGGCTGTAAGGCATCCTGGGTGAACATAGCGTAGGCCCCTGCTTAGGCATCTGGAGGAGGAATGACTGGGGAGAGAGACTGAAGGCAGGAAGGTCAGTGAGGAATCCCTGAGGGCGATGGTACAGGGGAGAGAAGGGGTTGGGATAGGAGACAGAGCGGGACCATAGGGCAGCTTTGGGACGGGGGGGTGGGAGCAGTGGGACTGGCGTTAGGGCTGGGGTTGTTTACTGATCATTAAGTATTACTAGCCACTAGTGCTCAAAGTTGTGAGCGCTGGCATCAGGGTCAGGGCGTTTTGAAGGCAACGCCTTTGGGGAAAATGGAGGATTTTGGAAGAGGAGAGTGTTTTCGGGAAAAGATAACGTGTTGTTTTGGACACATTGAGTTGGAAATGTCTTGTGGCTATCCAGTTAGAAATTCCCACTAGACAACTGTTGAGAGCCTGAAGGAGAAGGGAGAGGTGGGGTCAGCACAGAGATAATCAAATGTCTGGGAAATCTTGCATCTAGCGTGGAAGGAACCTCACGGCCTTTCTCGTCCAACTCCCTCATTCCATCAAAGATGAAACTGAGTCCCAGCAGCGTTAAGGGCTTTGCTGTACCTACGCTGTTAGTGTAAGAAGCACGATTTGAACTCTGGTCCTTTGACATCAAAACCATTGTATCATGTGGCTTTCTTCATTGAATTTCCCTGGTTCCTCTTAAAACCTACATTCCTTCATCCCCTGGAATGTGAGTTTGTGTTCTGACACTGCTAAGCCCCTCACACTGAAGCAGATTTTTGTCGTTTATAACTTTTGGTTTTACATCGCCTGTATTGCACCCTGGCCTGGAAACTGTCCCTCGTAACAAAAAATGAGCCAACAAAACCCACGTGTTCTGTGTGCTGTCTGAAGCCCCAGAATCTCACTTGTACAGGAGTTGGGGGTGGGGAAGTATCTTCTCCTCTTCCTTCTCTGGGACCAAGCTCGTTTTGATGATTCTGCAGTGTTCCCTTTGTGTTGTGGTTCTCTCCATTTACCTGCCTGTGGTGTTGCACGTGGCGTTTTCCTGGCTCTGCATCAGTCTGTCGAAGTCTTCCTGTGTCTCTGTGCATTTACCACATCACTCTTTTCTTACAGTACGGGAATATTCCACTATGTTCATGGACCACAATGTGTTGAGCCATTCCCCAGTTGATGGTCATCGATATGGTTTTCCTTTCTTTGGATAAGGAGCCTTTATTTTTGTCAGTGACCACCTTGGGGTATGTCCAGTGGTGGAATCTCTAGGTCAAAGGGTATGACCTTCCTTAGCCCAGTTCCAAATTGCTTTACAGAATGGTTGTATTCAGCTCCACCAACAGTGCACCAGTACGCCTTCTTTTGTCATCTTTGTCAGTTTGCTGGCTGTGGAGTAAAAGTTCAGGGTGCTTTGGTTTGCATTTCTCCTTACTCGGTAACTTAAAGCATTGTTTCCTGTAGTTGAGAGGGGCTGCCAATTTTTTGGTGAAGTTTATTCCTGCCTTTTGACTACTAATCTACTGGGGAATGGCTTCTGCTTCATTATTATTATTATTGTTGTTATTATTTTTAATAATGATTTTTTTTCTTTTGCTAGGCAGTTGGGGTTAAGTGACTTGCCCAGGGTCACACAGCTAGTGTCAAGTGTTTGGTCTGAGGCTGGAATTGAACTCAGGTCCTCCTGACTTCAGGGCTGGTGCTCTATCCACTGTGCCACCGAGCTGCCCCTGTGACAAGTATTTTTTGAAATTAAGTTGTTCCCCTATTACTCTCCTTCTCCAGGTACAAATTCTAGGGCAAAACAAATTGAAAATAGGCGTGCATGCTCAAAAATAATGATAGCTAGCATTTGTACAGTGTTTTAATGTTGTCAGAATGCTTTACAAATATTTTATCTTTACGGCCCTGGGGAGGTGGGTGCTTTTATTGTCCCCATTTTGAAGATGAGGAAACTGAGGCAGAGGTTAGGTGACTTGCCCAGGGTCACACAGCTAATATGTGTCTGTGGCTGGATTTGAACTCGGGTGTTCTGCCTTCAGTGCTCTGTCCACTGTGCTGCCCCCTGGCCGCTTCTCTGCATTTTCAATTCAACCTCTGTCAGGTGACTGGTGTGTTTCGTCTTCATTCTTTTGGGCTAGTGGTTCATTAATACATTAATGGGAATTCTAAGCTCTTTAAGAGTTGTTTTTATCTGTAATGTTTTTCTAATTCTCCTTCCTTTGTATCAGTTCGTAAAGGCCTTCCCAGTTTCCTCCTAAACTGTCCATTTCATTATTTCTGATGTGGCATTTTTTATTATGTTTAGGAGCCAGTTTCTTTAGCCGTCCCGCTCTAGTTCCCTTAGCTGCCATGGAAAGAGTCGCTATAAATATTGTTGTCCACATAAGTCCTTGTCCTGTCTCGCTACTTTCTTTGGTACACAGGCTGGTAGTGGTGTAGCTAGTTTAAAGAGTGTACACAGTTTGATAGCTTTTGGTTCATCTTTCTGCATTGCCTTCCCCAACAGCTGGACCATTTCACAGTTCCACTAATAATGTACCTGCGCCAGTTTTTCTATAGCCTTTCAAACACATCCTCCTCTCTTTTGCCATCTCTGTCACTGTGGTAGTGTGAGGTAGATCTTCAGAGCTGCTTTAATTTGCATTTCTCCTGTGACCAGTGATTTCAGACTTCCCAAAGTATGATTGTTTTTTTAATATAAATTTATTTATTTTTAGTTTTCAACATTTACTTCCACAAGATTTTGAATTCCAAATTTTCACTCCATCTTGCCCCTCCCCCCACCCCAAGATGGCATGCATTCTGAATACCCCTTCCCCCTAGTCTGCCCTCCCTTCTGTCTCTCCCCTCCTTCTCTTATTATCCCCTTCCCTCTGTTTTCCTGTAGGGCAGGATAGATTTCTGTACCTTATTTCCTGTATTTCTTATTTCCCAGTTGCATGTGGAAACATTTTTTTTTAAACTTGTGTTTTTAAAACTTTGGGTTCCAAATTTTCTCCCTTCCTCCCACTCATTGAAAAGGCAAGCAATCCAATACAGGCCGTACATGTGCAATTATGCAAAACACTTCCATAGTAGACATGTTGTGAAAAGCTAACTCTATTCCCCTTGATCCTGTCCTGCCCCTCCATTTATTCTATTCTTTCTTTTGACCCTGTCCCTCCTCAGAAGTACTTCCTTTTGATTACCCCTTTCCCAGTCTGCCCTCCTCTCTATCATCCCCCTGCTCTCTTGTCCCCCTTCCTCCCCTATTTTCCTGTAGGGTAAGACAGATTTCCATACCCAATTGAGTGTGTATGTTATTCCCTCCTTAAGCCAAATCCTATGAGAATAAGATTCCCTCATTCCTCTCACCTTCCCGTTTCCCCTCCTCTGTAAGAACCTTTTCTTGTCTGTTTTGTGTGAGATAATGTACCCCATTCTACTTCTCCCTTTCTCCTTGTATAATCTCACCCCTTAGTTTTATTCTCCAGATATCACCCCTTCATCTTCAACTCACCTTGTGCCCTCTATCTATCTATCTATCTATCTATACATATAATTTTTTCCCCTCCCACTCCCCGAATACTGACAACGGTCTCATGAGTTATACATATCATCTTTCTATGCAGGAATGTAAACAGTTCAGCCTTAATAAATGTCTTATGATTTCTCCTTCCTGTTTACCTCTTCATGTTCCATTTCATCAAGAATGCTTGAAAGTCGTTTATTTCACTGAACGACCATTTTTTCCCCTGAAGGATAATACTCAGTTTTGCTGAGTAGGTGATTCTTGGTTGTAATCCTATCTCCTTTGCCCTCTGGAATATTATATTTTATGTGCTGTGGTCCTTTAATGTAGAAGCTGCTAAATCTTGTGTTATCCTGATTGTGTTTCCACAGTACTTGAACTGTTTCCTTCTGGCAGCTTGTAATAGTTTCTCCTTGACCTGGGAACTCTGGAATTTGGCTATAATATTCCTAGGAGTTTTCCTTTGGGCATCTCTTTCAAGGGGAGATCGGTGGATTCTTTCAATTTCTATTTTGCCCTCTGGTTCTAATATATCAGGGCAGTTTTCCTTGATAATTTCTTGAAAGATGATGTCTAAGCTCTTTTTTTTGATCGTGGCTTTCAGATAGTCCAATAATTTTTAAATTCTCTCTCCTGGATCTATTTTCCAGGTCAGTTGTTTTTCCAATGAGATATTTCACATTGTTTTCTAATTTTTATTTCATTTAGATTTGTTCTACTGTGTTGTGATTTCTCATAAAGTCACTATCTTCCAATTGCTGTATTCTAATTTTTAAGGAAGTATTTTCTTCAGTAAGCTTTTGGACTTCCTTTTCCATTTGGCCAATTTTGCTTTTTAGGGCATTCTTCTCCTCATTGGCTTTTTGGACCTCTTTTGCCATTTGGGTTAGGCTATGTTTTAAGGTGTTGACTTGTTTTTTGTGATTTTCTTGCATCACTCTCAGTTTTTCCTCTACTTCCCTTACTTGCTTCTCAAGATCCCTTTTGAGCTCTTCCAAGGCCTGGGACTGATTCCTATTTTTCTTGGAGGCCTTGGATGTAGGAGCTTTGACTTTGTTGTCTTCTTCTGGTTGTATATTTTGATCTTCTTTGTCACCAAAGTAAGATAATATAGTCTGACTCTTTTTGCACTGCTTGCTCATGACCTGGGCCAATTACTTGAGTTTTAAACTCCTTGTTAAGGTAAGAGTCTGCTTCCAATGTGGAGAGTGTACTGTCCCAAGCTTCAGGGGTTTGTGTAGCTGTTTTCAGAGACACTTGTAGGGACCTGTAAATTTTCAGTTCTTCCAAGGTGGTATGATAAGGGGCGAGGTGTTTACTCCTTTCCTGGCCTGTGACCACAAGTACTCCTTTCTGTCCTGTAACTGTGAGGAGGGGTTCCTTTCTACATCCACTACAAGCTCCATTATGCCAGCGCTCCTCCTCGCCCCCAGTACCGCCGCCCAGAACTGTGACCCAGATCCAAACATGGGCAAAGCAAGAGATTCCTGCCTCAGCACTGGCAAAGAGATCCCTGCAGTCCCTCTCTGATCAGCCACTGGATTCCCCCTCAGTCTGTGGGCTGGAAGCTCAGGATGCAACCACCAATCTGGCGCCTATGCCCTGCGCTCTGGAACTGGCTCTGACCTAGCTCCTTTCTCACCACAGTCACAGACTTTTCCCACTGACCTTCTAAGCTGTCTTTGGCGTTCATAGATTGAGGAGTCTGGAAGCCGCCACAGCTGCCTGTGATTCAGTCCTCTGAGGCCTGGTCCAGGTTCGCTGCACCGAACTGCACTCCCCTCCCCGCCCAGCACAGTATGCCTTTCTGATCAACCATCCAGGCTGTCATGGGCTGGAAGTTTGTTTTACTCTGTCTTTTTGTGGATTCTGCTGCTTTAGAATTTCTTTGGAGACATTTTTTACAGGTATTTGGAGGGGTTTGGGAGAGAGCGTCCCCAAGTATGATTGTTGATAACTTGGATTTCTTGCTTTGAAAAATGCCTGCTCATATCCATTGAATGTTGACCTATTGGGGAATGGCTCTTATAAATTTGAATCACGTCCTTATGTATCTGGGAAATGAGACCCTTATCAGAGAAACTTAGATTTTTACCCAGTTGCCTGTTTCTCTTCTAAATTTTACATTAACTTTTTGTTATAATCAGAATTTTCATTTTGTGTGATCTTATCACATGTGTAGTCATGAAGTCTTTATCCATACATCTGAAAGGTAATTTCTTCCTTTCTCCTGATTTGGGTGATTATTTGATTTTTTTTTTTAATAGCGAGGTCATGGATCTCTTTGGAGCTTGTGTTCTCGAGAGGGTGGCTAACCCTAATGTCTGATGCACAGGTTTCCCAGCAGTTTGTGTGAAATATTGAGTCTTTTATCGCCAGCAACTGGTGTCTCAGGGTTTATCAAGCGCTATGCTGTTGTATTTGTTATATATAGAATTTGTTCCACTTATTAGCCTCTTCTTTTAAACCAGTACCAAATCATTTTAATGATTACTGCTTTGTAATATGGCTGAGATCGGGTACTGATGGACCACCTTCCTTGCCTTGTTTCAAAAATTATCCTTGAAATTCTTGACCTTTTGTTCTTCCACATTAACTTTTTTTTTCTCCTGTCTGTAACATTCTCTTTGGGGTTTGGTGCAACTTTGTCAACTGATTTAGGTAGTGTGTTGTTTTTTTATGATACTGGCCTCCTAATGAATGCTTCACTAATTTTTTTAGATCTGTCTTTATTTCTGCAGTATGTTTTATCATTAGATTTACAGTCTCTGGGTGACTTTTGCTAAATTGATCTTATTATATGCAAAAAGTAGTAATTTTATATTCTTTGTCTAGATTAATTCCCTTAATATTTGGGGGGAGGTGTTATTGCTATAGCAAGCATGTAGGATAGAGTGCTAGGGCTGAGTTCAAATCTGGCCTCAAGCACTTATTAGCTGGTGACCCTGGGCAAGTCACTTAATCCTCTTTGCCTCAGTTTTTCTCGAAATCTGTAAAATGAGCTGGAGAAAGAAATGGCAAACCATCTCATTATCTTTGCCAAGAAAACCTCAGATGGGGTCAAAAGAGTCACACCCAAGTAATCAACCAACAATAATAAATCCTTTTTACTGGGAAGGCCTCTAGCTTTTCTACAGTACATGTGTTTGCTCTTAGATTTGAATACTATTTATTACATTAGGAAAGTCCATTTATTCCTGTAGTTTTTACAGTCTTTCATGGAAAGACTTTCACACTTCACACCGTGTTAATGTCCCAATTTCCTTCCAGGTCCGAGTGTATGACCCAGCCTCCCCACAGCGGCGGCCTGTGCTAGAAACCATCTATGGAGAGTATCCCCTGATGGCAATGACCCTCACTCCAGGGGGCAAGTGAGTGATGGGGGTAGGGACGTTGATGGGCTCTGGGAATGAAGACAGGCTTGGGTCAACCCCTGCTTGCCCTCTGGTTTCTTTCCACAGCTCTGTCGTTGTGGGGAACACCCATGGGCAGCTAGCAGAAATTGACCTTCGGCAAGGTGAGTTGGGGGAGGGTCCAGAGAAACTGGGAGATTGGGACAAGGGAAAGAGACCAGGCAGCAGCAGCAGCAACAGCCTTGGCCTTTCCTGACCTCCTCCCCTAGGGCGCCTGGTGTGCTGCTTAAAGGGTCTGGCAGGCAGCGTTCGGGGGCTGCAGTGCCATCCCACTCAGCCCATTCTTGCCTCCTGTGGCCTGGACCGAGTTCTACGGGTACATCGACTTCGGGAACCTCGAGGGCTGGAACACAAGGTGACCCCACTCCCCCTCTTCCCCTTCCATGAAGTCCCCGTACTGTCCTGCTCATCTGTACCTGCTCAGGCTGGGGTGGGGAGACAAAGGAACCTGGGAGTCCTTTCCACATTGTCACTCCCATCCACTAACTGTCTCCTTCAGGTTTACCTCAAGTCACGGCTGAACTGTCTCCTCTTGTCAGGGAGGGACAACTGGGAGGTGAGAGAGCCGAGTCTTGTCTGATGGGGGCTGGGGTGCAAACATGAGCCGCGGCGGCATGTTCTGAGCTGCAGGGCAAGGCAGCCCTTGAGGGCTGGGGGTGGATGGGTGGGGAGACAAAGCTGCTGGTGTGGAGGGGGGATCGGCCTGGAACCTGAGGACCTGGGCTCCAACCCCCCCCATCCTTAGTGCCCCTCAGACCTTGGGCCTGGAGTCAGGAACCAGACACGGAGTAGCCGATGACCCTGAGCGTGCCCCTTTACCTCCACTGGCCTCAGTTTCCTCAGCAGTAAAATGGGGTTGATAATATCCCCTCCCTCCCTCAGTTATTGTGAGGCTCAGAGGAGAGTTGTAAAGACTGCTCAGCACAGTGTTTGGCACATAGCTGCCACGTAAGCATGTAGCTTAGCATTTGTTCCTTTCCCTTGATTTCCTTGTGCTTCTGTTTCCTCATTTGTAAATGAGGGCATTGGACTAGAAGGTTTCTGAGTTCCCTTCCAGTTCTAAGCTATGATCTTGTGAGTCATGTGAAATCATAGGCTCCAGAGCTGGATCTTGGTGATCAGTTCATCCTGGAGGAAATGGAGACCTAAAAGGGGGACCCTGATTTAGCCCAGGCCCCCCCTGGGCAGTAAGAGTGGCAGATCTGGGCTGTGAATGGGGGGGAGCAGGAGGAGGAGAAGCGTGGTGGGGAAACTAGAGAGGCCTGGCCTGGAGACCTTTTCTTTTAAAAGATGAGGGATTTGGGCCATTGCCTTGGGGCAGTCTCCCCATAATTCTCCCCCCTCCAAAAGAAGGCAAACCCTAACCCTTCTCCTTTCACTCACCAGGATGAGGCCAGAGATCCTGCCCCAGTCCCCTATGAAGAAACAGAGACTGATGAGTTGTGGGATTCTCTGGTGCCAGTGGTTGCTGGAGCCAAGAGGAAACAGAGGCCTCTGGGGGTCCAGCCTGGGGGAAAGAAGCAACAGGCATTAGGTGGCCCCTCACCTCTGTCCTCCCTTTTTAAATAAAGAAGTCACCATTCTTCTGTGACCCTGCCTCCTCCTTGGGAGTAGATGGGAAGTCAGCTGCCTGGCCTTTAGGAGAGCTCCAGCCAGGGGTCCTAAGGCAGCAGGCTGCTGGAGGGGTGGGGGTGGGGGAGGGCTCTGACATCACAAAGCCTAGGGATTGGGGCAGAGTGATGGCTGCCAGGCCGGTGGTGGGGTCATGGGCTGTGCCAAGTCCAAGAACAAGAGTAGTGATGAGATCTCCAAGGCAGAAATGGAAGGTAGGGTGGGTAGTGTCTGGTGGGGATCAAGGTCACTGGCTGGATGGCAAATGGGCAGCAGGGCTGCCCTGGACCGGATACCTGCTGACCCCAGTTAAAGGGGTGGTCTAGGGAGGGGCTGGATGCACTGCAGCCCAGTGCACAAAGGAGGACCTTGGACTGCACCCCAGACCTGCTTGCAGAGGCACTGAGTGCACTCCCACCTAAGTGTGCAGGAAGGAAAGCGTCGGGGATGCACGGGGGGTGGGGCGGTGCGCCTTGAGGTCCCGGGGCCCCCCAGCAGATGTGCAGAAGGAGGGCATCGGGGATGGACAGAGGGAGGGCGTGGGGGCCCGGGGCCCCGCAGCCCGGCTCTCCCGGCCCCCTCCCCGCTCCGCAGGACGCACCAGCCGCTACAACTCGTCTTGCAAGTCCAACGACAGCTTGACCATCACGGTGATCTGGCGGAGGCTGTCCATGTTCAGCCGTCGAGGCTCCACGCGCAAGCAGTCAACCGAGGTGAAGACAGAGTCCAGCTTGAAGTCTGCGGCCATCGCGAAGTCTCCGTCCCTCCCAGAATCTCCATCCCTCGAGGAGGAGGCTCAGTCCCTCCCGAGCTCTCAGGACGCCGAATCCCTGGGCCCGGAGGAGGAGCGGCAGCAGGAGTTGTCCAATCAATTGGAAGACCGGGGGAACCGATGACCCCGGAGGACCCTTGCCCTGCCCCGCCCCGTCCCGTCCCCCCCCCCCGGGAGAAGAGAATAAAAGTAGAGACCTGGAGCCCAGAGATGGTGCCTGCCTCGCTGTCGGGGTGCGGGGAGAAGGCCTGGGGGGGCGGGGCCGGGGGCCTCAGTTTCCCCTAGGTGAAATGGACGGACCCGCGAATCTGCGCAGCGAGTGCAATTAAAGCTCCTCCGGAGGCGGTGATGCAACCCAAGGGGGCGTGGCGCTGTGGGTTTCCGTAGAGGAGGGAGGCGTGACTTGGGTTTAGGATTAAGCCAGCGAGTGGGCGTGGCCTTGCCGGTAGCCAGGGGCGCAGTCGTGAGGGGAGGGCGTGGCCAAGGCGCCCTCCGGATGAGTGGGCGTGGCTCTGACTGCCGTTGCGGGGGCGTGGTCTCCGGCGCCAGCGAGGGGGCGTGGCGGCGCGCTGCCGTCATTCTGGGGCGGGGCCACGCCTAGGTGACGTGTCAGCCTCTGGGCCGTGGTCCCGTTTCTCTGACTCCGTCCCGGGGGAAGAAGCAGTATCAGTCTAAGCGGCGGCAGCGGCGGCAGCAGGCAGTGGCGCAAAGGTAGGAGACGACCCTGACGAGGTTGGGGAAGACGCTGGGGCCGAGGGCGGCCGGCTCTCGGCGGGGCGGGGATGGGGGAGGACGACGACCGACTGGGGAGACCGGAGACTTCTGCCGGTCCAGCTGCGGGTGAGCGATGCCGCCCCTACCTAATCAGAGCGCCGTATGGTGTGAAAGATTGCGGCGGCGGCCAATCGTTGCTCAAAGCCGCGGAGGGGGCGGGGTTTAGTCCGGGGCGGGACTTCCGATGTCGGATAAACATTTTGGAGGGTACCCCTGAGCAGCGTTCTGTTCTCTTGGGAGCCCCGGAACAGAGACCCCCCTCCACCCCTGAGCCCTCCTCCGGCCTTTATTTAGCCCTTTGCGCATCCTCCTTCCCGCCACCCCTCCCTCGCCCTTCCCCGTTCTCTTTCTGCCTCTCTCGTCGCTTCCCCCTCCCCTTTTGTTCCCCCTCCTACCCCCCTCCCTCTCTCCCCCTGCTCATTCCCCATTCCCCTCTCTTACTCTCTCCTCTCTTCCCCATTCTCCTCAATTAAAAAATTTTTTTTCTACTCAATTTCTAACCCTTCTTTTGCTCCCCCTCCTCCCTCCTTCAATGGCTCCCCTCCCCTCTTGTCCTCCCCCATTTTCCTCTTTCCTTTTTTCTCTTTCAGCCCTCCTGACTCTCTTTCTCTCCTCCCTCCCCTCTTTTCACTTTTCCCCCTCTCCCTCTCTTCCCCCCCCCGCTTCTTCCCTCTTCCTCCTCTTCTTCCTTCTTGCCCCCTCTTTCTCCTTCATTCCTCTTCTCTCCTCACTCCTTTCTTCTCTTTCTCCCCTCTCATTCCCTCCCTAAATTCTCTCCCTGGCCTTCCTTTCTCTTCTCCTTCCCGGTTCCCTTTTGTTCTTCTCTCATCTGTTCTTTCTCCTCTTTTACTTTTCCCTGATTCCCCCATTCCTCCCCTCTTCTCTCTTTCCCTTCTCCCCCTTTGCCCTCCCAGGTGAGGTAGCTAGGTGGCAGGGTTAGAGGGACTGGGCCTGGAGGTGGCAGGAAGACCTCAGTTAAAATTGGATTTGAGACACTCATTAACTGTGTGACTCTGGCCAGATGATTTAACCTTTGTTTGCCTCAGTTTCCTCATCTGTAAAATGAAGCTAATAACAGCACTGGCTACCTCCTAGGATTGTTGGGCGATCAGATGAAATATTTCACATGTGCTTAGCACGGTGGGAGGCACGTAATCGACCCTTAATCAGTGCTTATTTCCTTTCTTCCTTCTCCCCATTCTTTCCTTCCTCCTTCCTTCCCCTTCTCCCCATCCTCTTTTCTCCCCCCTTTCCTTTTTTCCTTTTCTCCCCTGTTCTGTCTTTGGTTTTCCTCTCCTGGTCCTCCTCTCTCCTCTCTGCGTTTTCTTCTTCCTTCACTCTTCTTTTCTGATTTCTGTTTCCTCTTCGCTTCCTTATCTTTATTCTCTTCTTTCCTCAGATTTCTCTTCCCATTCTCCCTTTGGCATGTCCAGAACAAAAGCCTTGAACTTGGAGCAAGAGCCCCAGTGTTCACAGGGGCCATCTGTGTGACCCGGGCAAGTCACTCACCCTCTCTGGGCCTCAGCTGCCTCATCTGTAAAAGAAAGGGGTTCAAGTCTCTTCCCCTTCCTGGATCTGTGCTCCCTCTCCCAGATCCTTTCTTTGACCCCCTTTTCATCTTCTCTACCCTCACTATTCTTTTTTTCCATCTTGTTCCTTTCCATCATCCTGTGTTTTTCCTCCCTGTCCTTGGGCAAGTTGGAATGGAATGTGTGGGGAGGGAAGAGAGGAGGAACAGGAAGGGGGAGGCTCGTCAAGGGTCAGGACCTGGCTCCAGTATCTTCCTTTGTCCCTTCATCCTCTGGTAGGCCAGGGATGTGGGAACATGTTTCCTCCCCACAAAAGGAGCCCGTGTGATTTAATGGAAAGTGGTTCCTGCCCGGACTCCTCTCTTACTGTATGATCTGATCTGGGTCAAGTCTCAGCCTCAATTTCCCTGTCTGTAAAGAGACTAATACAGTGCTTCCCTGCCAGGCTTCTCGGGAGCTTCTGAACACTCTAGAATGAGAACTCTTCTTCTTTCCCCCAGATTGAATCTAGCGTGAGCCTTCCTTCTGTCTGCCATGAAGCCAGAGTTAAATGGGGAAAGGGGAAGGACACTCTCTCTTTGATCTTTCCTTGTCCTGCCACATTGGAGGTGGTTTCTTGGGGTGAGCGCAGAGAGTAGGAGGGGAAGCAGGGGGAAGATAAGAGGACAGAGAATGACGGTTTGCCCCCCACAACAGTCCGAGGTTATGCGTCTAAATGAACACGAGGAAACGCTACGGGTCTAAGAACACGGATCAGGGAGTCTACCTGGGTCTCTCAAAGACGCAGGTGTTGCCCCCTGCAGCGGCTGGCGGCGGCCCCAGCGGCAGCATCCCCACCACCACCGCCTCCCCTTCACCGGCTCCCCCTCCCGACACCATGTCCTGTAGAGACCGAACTCAGGAGTTCCTGTCTGCCTGCAAGTCCCTGCAGAGCCGCCAGGTGAGGGGGACGGGGAGCGAGGGGCTCAGAAAGGGCGCACATGGTGCCTTGGGGAGGAGCTTCCCTGTGTGGTGAGCCTGAAATCATGGTTTCAGAAAGGGGCAGCCCAGAACCCCCTGAATAGCCCAGAGGTTACCCAAAGTCAGCTTTGAAGATCTGATCATTGTGTGAGATGGGAGACAAAGGGAAAGGCTGTCCCGTGTGTAAAAGGCCATCCCTAAAGTAGAGGTCAGGTTCTGAGGGCGTATGTGATGAGAGCTGTGCCTGCTGCCCCTTGGGATGGGGCCGCTGCCTAATTCATAAAGCTCGTCTGGCCCTCCACCAGGTCAGGCTTTGAGATCTGCAGATCACGGGGAATCGGGGGGAAGAGGAAGGAGAATGGGACCACCCCCATCCACCCCAGATTAGAGCAGCAGTGAGGCCTGGGGGGCTCTCCAGAAGCTCACTTGCTGACGTTGTCTCTTAGAATGGACTCCAGGCAGACAAAACCGCGGCCCTGAGTGCTGTCCGGCAGCGCAGTGAGTTCACCCTCATGGCCAAGTGAGTTGTGGGAGTCCAGAGGCCAGGGGAGTCGTTGGGGCCTTATCTGTGGAGGGGGCGCTCCAAGCCCCCTCCCTCCTCCTCCCTCTCTGTTGCAGGCGTATCGGGAAGGACCTGAGCAACACATTCGCCAAGTTGGAGAAGCTGACGATCTGTGAGGCCCCATGGGGGGTTAGCCTAAAGAAACTGTGGGAGGCGCCCTTCTCCTTTGGGGGGGGGCAGGACCCAAGTAGGGCAAGCTGGTCCGTGTAGGAAAGGGGGCGAGCTTCACAGGTCCTCTGCCACTTAGTAACGTGGACGGGCTCAGGAGTAGTCCCCGTGCACTTCCTGCTGTATGCCAGGTAACACTGTGAGCACAGAGGGGACCAGTTTAAAAGTGAGCATCCTCACCTTCAAGCTTCCGTTCTACTGGGGTGGCATATTGAGTGTGATCACAGATTTACACTAATTATAAACGGTGATGGTGTGCTCGGGAGAGCCCTGCGGGAAGCAGGGAAGGCCTACTCGGGGTGGGAGCCCAAGGTGGGGGGATCAAAGGAGGGAGAGAATTGCAGGCCTGGGCAAAGCACCGAGGGGGAAGGTGGGGGGGGGACGTCCTAGGGAAAGTCCAGGGGCCGGGTTTGTCTTCAGGGGACGAACGGCACTCAGCCTGGGAAGTATGCTGATGGCATAAAAACCTTTGAAACCCGTCGAGTGACACACCTGTGACCACTGGAGAGGAGGACAGATTGGAGAGGGCAGGAGGCCCCCAGGGAGGCTAATGAAGAGGCTGTTGCAGTAGTCCAGATAATAAAACAAGATGAGGAGAGAAATGGGCCTAGAACCGGGGAGTGGTGGTGGTGTGAGAGAATCAAGCTGTAGGTGGGCCTAGCGGTGGGATTTGGGCCAGAAGAGAGAAAGGAACCTGTGCTGAGTACCCAGCTGACTGGAGGGTCAGAGTGCCCTGAACCTGAGAGGCTGGGGCAAGGGCCCTTGAAGCCCAGGCCCAGGTGCCTGGTCAGATCTCTAGGCATCCCTTTTCTCTCTGTCCTCACTCCCAGATTCTTTCTCCTCTTCCTTTTATAGTGGCCAAGAGGAAGTCTCTGTTTGATGATAAGGCTGTGGAGATTGAGGAGTTGACTTACATCATCAAACAGGTGAGCTACGGATGCAGGCTGTGGGCCCCTTCCCTTCTTCCTCTTCCTCTTCTTCCCCCTCCTCTTCCTTCTCCTCTCCTTCCTCCTCCTCTTCCTCTCGCCCTCCTCCTGCTCTTCCTCCTTCCCCTCCTCTCCCTCCTCCTCCCCCTCTTCTCCCTCTTCTTCCTCCTCCCCCTACTCTCCCTCCCTCCTCTTCCTTCCCCTCCTCCTCCCCCTCCTCTCCCTCCTTCCCCCCTTCTCCCTCCTCTCCCTCCTCTTCTTCCTCCTCTCCCTGTTCTTCCTCCTCCCCTACTCTCCCTCCTCTTCCTCCTCCCCCTTCCCCCTCCTCCCTTGGCACAGACGCATTGTGGGCATTTGCTCTGGTTCCCCAGCTTCCTTCTGTCCCTCTCTGTGTCCTGCTCCTGGACAGAGGCCTGAGTGTTGCCAGAGGGGCCCCAGGGCCGCTGCCACTCACTTCTCCTTCCGTCAGATCAGGACTTCGGCTCTGTGATCTCCGGGGTTGCATCCAGCTCTGTGCCAGCTCCCTCATTTCTCAAATGAGGAAACTTTGCCCGCCCAGGGTCGCGGCAGTAACAAGTGACAGAGCCAGGCTTTGGCCTCCTGAGGCCTGCCCAGGACGCTTGGTTAGAGACCTCTGCATAGCTCTGTTCCCTGGTTGCCATTCATTTCTCCCTTCTTTCAGCACTAGGTGTTTTGTGCTTCCAGGCGCACATTCGGGCTCAAGGTGGGCGCACTGCCGCTCACCCTGGCCTCTCCTTGGTTCTTCCACTAGGACATCAACAGCCTCAACAAGCAGATCGCACAGCTGCAGGATGTTGTCAGGGCCAAGGGGAGCCAGAGCGGGCGGCACCTGCAGACTCACTCCAACACCATCGTGGTCTCCCTGCAGGTGTGGCAGAGGGCATGGGCATGGGGGGGGCGGGGGGGGGGGAATCACTCTGGGTACTCACACCTCCTGCTCTTTTTCCTAGTCTAAGCTGGCTTCCATGTCCAATGACTTCAAATCTGTTTTAGAAGTGAGGACAGAGGTGAGAGTCCTTTGTGAGTGGGGGGCGGGGCTCAGATGGACAGCATCTCTGAGGGCCTGAGTGACCGCTACCCTCCCTTTGCCCCTCCAGAACCTGAAGCAGCAGAGGAACCGCCGGGAACAGTTTTCCCGTCCGTCTGTGGCGGCTCTGCCCCTTGCCCCCAACCACCTGGGTGAGTCAGGGTCGCTGGAGTGGGCACACTTACCTGGCCTGGGCTCCTTCTCATGTCTTCCAGAGTCAGCCAACCTGTCAGTCACTCCATGTTGTTAATAAGCCCCCTTTGTACCAGGCACTGGGAGGGGTGGGGAAAGGAAACCCTCCCTTCTAGGACCCCTTTGGGGTCAGCCACTGAGAGGACTCGAGATACTGACCTGGGATCAATGGATAGACGTAGAATGAGCGCCAGAGAATTTTAGGAGAAACTTACAGATCCCAGCCAAGCAGCTGAAAGGGACCGTGGTGGCCATCCAAGCCCGAGCCTTCATTTTACCCACAAGGGAGAAGGGACGTAGGCCATGCAAGGAGGCCCAAGAGCTGAGCACCCTTGGGAGGGGAGAAGTGGGCACACCGGGGAGGGAAAAGGTTGGGGGCGTTCCCAGGAAGTGAGGGGGAAGGGCATGCCAGGGAGGGAGGAAGGGGGGGTGGGCACCTCGGGAGGGGGAATTGAAGGAGGGTGCCCCAGGAAGAGGGGGTGGACAGCCTGGGGGGGGCACCTCAGGAGGAGGGGTTGGGGGAGGGTGGGCACCTCAGGAGGAGGGATTGGAGGAAGGTGGGGGGGTGGACACCCCAGGGAGGGAGGAAGGGGGGTGGGCACCTCGGAAGGAGGAAGTGGAGGAGGGTGCCTCAGGGAGAGGGGTGGACACCCTGAGGCAGGGCACTCTGGGGAGAGAGATGGGGAGGGCACCCAGGAAGGGGGAGGGGGGTGGACATCTGGGGGGAAGGGTTAGGGTGCCCCAGACCTAGATGCAGGATGAGGAAGTGGGAGCCCTTGGGTGCAGGATTTGGGAAAGGCTTAGAGGTCCAGGTGTGTTGGATTCTCTTTTGGAGGGAGCAGATGAGTCCTAGGGCAAGCTCCATGACTCGTCCCTGTTTTTTCCCCTGTGGCATAAATTCCCAGTCCCTGGAGCCTTGGCTCCTCTCTTCCCCCTTCACGAACTCTGGATTCCACTGCTCAGCCTCCATGGCGTTCTCTTCTGTGCAGACCTCATATCCCACCTCCAGGCTCCGTCTGGAACAAGCTTGTTTCCTCATCCCTGTGCGCTGGCACCCCTGGTCACCGGCTGGCCTTCCTGTTCCTGGGTACTCCCACCTGGCCATGGGAGATTCCCACCGCAGACTGTCAGCTCCTTGAGGGCAGGCCCAGGGGTGGTCTTTTCTTTGTATTCCCAGAGACTTGTACTTCAGAGAAGGAAAGGGAAGGAGCATTACCCTAGGGTTGCCTCTGTGTGTGGGGCTCGGAGCCATGCGCTGTACAATTATTTCCTTATTTGATTCTCACAATATCCCTGTGAAGTAGGTGCTATTGTTATCCCCATTTAATGGTTGAAGAAGCTGAGGCAAACAGGTGAAGTGATTTGCCCAGGGTTACCCATCCTGTGCAGGTGAAAGGTAAAATTGTTGAATTGGATTGCAGCCTCTCTCTCTTCCACAGGAGGTGGGGCTGCATTGTTGGGAGCTGAGCCGAGGGCTGCAGGCGACGTGGCCATCGACATGATGGACTCCCGGACCAGCCAGCAGCTACAGCTCATTGATGAGCGGGTGGGTGCCCAGGCCTGGGCCCAGTGTCAGCAAGCATCTCAGCAGACCCACAGTCCTTGATCAGAACCAGCTCTGAGCCAGAGATGTGAACAGGAGCTCCCATTGTGCTAGTCAGACGTGCAGGGCACAGATGGTTCAGGTGGTCAGACACACTGCCCCCCCCATGCTGCTGAAAGCCTGGGTGATCCGAAGCAGAGGAAGAGAAGCTGGGGTCCTCTGGAAGGTCCAAGGAAGCCTGCTGATGTCCATCCATCCTTCTTTCTCCCCGGCAGGATTCCTACATCCAGAGCAGGGCAGACACCATGCAGAACATTGAGTCTACCATCGTGGAACTGGGCTCCATCTTCCAGCAGCTGGCACACATGGTCAAGGAACAGGAGGAAACCATCCAGCGGTAAGGCTCTGGGCCTGTGGTGGGGCTTAGGATGAGGGCTCGCAATCTGAATGGAGCCAGGTTGGACCGTCTTAGAAGGGCATCTGTGCCATTCTGTGTCCTGGGGAGGCCCACAGTCCCCTTTTCAGAATAGGGTTTATAAGTAATTGAAGGAAATCTGGTTATGCCTTCCACAGTACTCCTTCCCCATCCCGGTTTTGATATATTGTAGATCTGCATAAGAAATTAAATGGGAATTTTGGGGGAGTTTTGAGGAAGCCACAGATGACATGTGAAGGCCATCAGACAAGGCAGAAAAAGTTTAGAAACTCCGAAGTGCATAAAATATGTGTATAGTGTTGTCAGACAGCAACTCAAATTTGACAGTAAGGTACTGTAAATAGCCCACAAAAGAAAAAGAAAAATTCAGACTTCTTCTCTGGTACAAAGAGAGGGCCACAAAATTTAGCCTGGATTTCCCCGATCACAGGGGCACTGCTCCCCTGACTCCTCATGATGCGGAAGGGGAAAACTACTCAATTTCAGGCTGAGGTTAGTAAATAGAGATGTATTTTCTCCCCGTCCAAGCCTAGGGGTCCCTGAAAGCTATCCATGGCCCCCAGTTTAAGAGCTCTTGGTCTGACAAGCATGTCTCTTCAAAGGGCCTTTGAGAACGCAGTGTCCAGAATGATGGAGGGCAGGGGGTTCTTGGGGCTCTGCCCTGGTTCTGGGGGTGTGACTGCTGGTCAGCTCCAGAGGCTAAGGTGAGGGCCAGAAGGCATGCCCTTGAAGGGAGGACTGGGGGTGCTCAGGGGTGGGGAGGAGCTGAGAGCTGGCTGGGCTGTTTGGGGCTCCCCAGGGAGCAGGGAATACGCTTATTCTGTTTGGCCCAGAGGGCAGAGCCAGCAGTCAGTTGGCAAGCACCGATTGAGCACTTCCTGGATGCTGGGGGTCCTGCCCTCAAGGGACTTATGTTCTAAAAGGGCAGAAAAGGAGGAGTCTGGATTGAGGGATTTCCAAGGTCTTTTTCAAGTTTTTTAAACTGTAGAGATACTATTTTTAATTGATATATTGGGTTTCTTACATCACCATTGTATCCCATGTACCCCTTCTCCTGTCCTGGAGCCATCCTGGGGGACAGATGACAGTCTTTCTGGTCCCTTCATGTACAGAGGACGTGATGTGGGCAAGGAGGGTGAGAGAAGGCAGGCGTCGTGGGGCAGGGAAGGCAGTCAGTGGGAAGCCTCGGTTCTTGTCCCATCTCCATCCCAGTGGATGGTTTGAGGCAATTCGCCTGGTCTCTGACCTCCCTCCTTTATCTATAAATGAAGGAGGAGAGCATCTGTCCTGCCTTCGTTATCACTGAGACAGGCATATGAGAATATACATGGAAGTACCTTTAGAAAGAATGCTCTTTGTCAATGCCAAGAATGATGTGGACGAGGAGTTAATGCTACGGGGCCATGAGCGGCCCCCGGGGATGGGCCAGGGGAGGTTTCCCTTTCCCAGTCGAAGCTGGTTAAGGATGCTCGCGTTTCTGTGAGATGTTTGTCCCCACAACCCTCTGAGGAGAAGGATGCTTGTGGTATTGTCCCCATGGTACAGAGAAGGCTGGGGCTCAGCACCCCGGGTCATGTCACACAGCTGGCCAGAGTGGGGCGTGAGCTCTGGCCCTCTGGAGGCCCCTCTTGCTGCCCGTCCTGTTGTCTCTCAATTCCACACTTCTTCTGTGTCCGCCTTTGCAATGCCTGCCCCTGCAGAGGACCCCTGACTTCCTAAGCCTTAGTAGCTCAGTGCATACGCGCGCGCGTGTGCGCACACACACACACACACACACACACACACACCCTCTTAATCTCTTTGGGATGAAAAGGCCCTTCACGTCCAGTGGCTTGTGTGGTCTGTGGGCTGTGACAGGTCCCTTGCCTTTGGCAGACAGGCCTTCCCCTGCCCACAGAACCCACACATCTGGCCCCACCTCAAGAGTTGCCCTTGTTTTCCAGACCCAGCACTTCTTGTCATTAATCTGGCCATGTTTCTGCTTCTTTTCTCTCTTCCCACCCCTGGTGCCACCCAGGATTGACGAGAACGTGCTGGGAGCACAGCTGGACGTCGACGCCGCCCATTCGGAGATCCTTAAATATTTCCAGTCAGTCACTTCCAATCGCTGGCTCATGGTCAAAATCTTCCTCATCCTCATTGTTTTCTTCATCATCTTTGTGGTCTTCCTTGCCTGAGCATTCCCTGTGTCGAGGCAGCCCAGATGGGAATCATTCCTTTCAGCGGCCCCTGCAGCTGAACCTGTCTGGGGTGGTGGGAGAAGGGCAGGAGGCCATCCCTGTTTTGCTGGGACTGATAGAGACGGCCCTGTGCCCTGTGACCCCTCCCCACCTCTGCCCTTCCTCTCCTTGGCCCAAACTCACTGGGTTTGGACTGCTGTGAATGGGTGGGAGGGGAGGAAGGGCAGTGCCTGCATAGCAGTGGAAGTTTTGTATAGACCCGCCCAGGCCTCTCCCAAAGGCCGCTCCATCACTGATGTGCACAAGAGGAAAGGAGGGGTTGCTTTTTCCTCTGGGTTGGACCTTCTGCCCTTCTTCCCCCAGTCTTCACTGTGTCTGGGGCGGAGGGCCCCAGAACCCCCAACATTGGCTCCTAATGACTGTGTCAATTTGCCAAAGGCACTGTCATCCCCGTTTTGTGGAATTACAGCAAGATGGTCAGCCCTTTTGGCCTTGTCCTCATTTCAGGGGCGTCACAGGGGTTGGCCTGGCCTGGTCCCTAGGGTAGTGACCCCAGGAGACTGAGGGATCACCTAGCTGATAGGGCTGGTGGTCCTGTCCCTTGGTACCCTGCTGTTGACCTTGCCCCAGCAGCAGCCTGGGGTAGGGGTGGGGGGGGTGGTAAGCTGAGCTAATATCTACAGATAGGCTTGGAATCGGTTGTGTTGACCTCCTTGTCTGCTTCCTCCTTGAACTGTTGGCTGGGAGGCAGAGGGTGCCAAGGCCTTGTGATCCTCCTCTCCAGGGCCAGAGAGGCTTGCAGGGGATCACACTGCCGCCTCCAGGCACCACCTCGGGCAGTAAGGGGCCCTTGCCAGAGGGGCAGACAGCTGGCCTGCAGCGACAGCCTCAGCCCTCACCGGCCCCCCCCTCTGCATTCCACACAGACTCTTGCCCGAGGTCGGCCCTTGCCTTGGGACTGAATCTTCCATCCATGGCCTGCCCACTGCCAGGGAAGGCTCTGGTGGCCTTGGCAGCCTCAGGAGTCCTTGGGAAGACACGATTCTGATTCCCGCTACAGACTAGGCAGGCAGGCCTGGACCTAACAGCACGGGCCATCGGGGAGCCTCCACTCCTGGGAGATCCCCTGTGGCTAGTCAGCTGCCTGCTACCTAGACCTGGGCTGCAGTCATCGAGTCAGCGAGAATTTGTTGGGCCTCCTGGCCTGCCTAAACGCCGAGATTGACTAGGAAGCCCCTAGGAAATGCTCCCTGCCCAGGGGGGCTTTGCAGACAGCAGTCACTGTCTGTGAGCTGGCAGCTTTGCCCTATCCTAGGGAGACCACTGTGGAGGAGGAGCAGCCCTGGAAGGCCTGGGGCTTCCTGGCTCAGCTGAGGCTGCAGGCCTTACCAGAGAGAACTGGCTCAGGGAGGGCCGGGATTCCAGTTCAGAGAGGGTGGATAGAGGAGGAGGGGCTGGGGGGCCTAGTGGGCAGGGTGCTAGGAAGCCTGGATTTGAATCCTCACTCCTCCCTTACTACAGATGGGACCTTGGCAAGTCAATAAAAACTGACATTTCTACAGTGCTTATGTTGGCACAGCCCATTTCCTCATTTGACCCTAATTCCATCCACCCGGTGAGGTTGCCAGGGCTTCCCATCCATCCCAACTGCCACTTCCCCTACCAGTCCTAATGATGCTGAATAAGCTATTACCTCAGGCCAGCCACTCCCACCCTTCCTATTCTGTCATCGCCAAGCAAGCAGTCAGTCCATGGGTCAGTCAACATGTAAACACGTGTTGTGTGCTGGGCCCCGAGAAGCTGCTGCTGCTGCCTCATCTGGACCCGGCCCTCAGTCCCCCTCCCCACAGTAGCTCTCCCACGCCAGGCCCACATCAAGCAGGCCCTTCTCAACATCTCACAACGCCTTGACCTCATCCCTCATTTTCTTCTTTAAGAGGCGGCCCTTCTCACCAAGGCTAACTCCTTTCCAGCAGGTCATCGTCCTCCTCACTCCCCCCATCTTTCATCTCTGACCTTACTGCCTACACCCATGCCCATCCCTTAAAAAGCTGTCCATAGGCAGCATTTCTGTTCCTCTCCTCTCCTTTCCCATCAGGCTTCCAACCCCACCCACTGAAACTGTCAGCTTTTTCTTGACCCTCATCCCATCGTTACTTCTCTGAAGGACCTGTCACTTCAGTGCCTCTCTAGGTTTTAGGTTGTCTATGGCTCTGACCTCTCCTTACCAAGTGTCCCTGACTGGGCCATTATCCATATCTGAGCCCCCAGGCTCCTTCTGGGCCCTCCTCTCTGAACAAAAGGTTACCTGGAGGCAGACCTAGACTTGAGGACAGAACTCCAATACCACATCACCAGCTGCCTGTTTGTCCAAAATGACTCATCAGCCCTAACCGCCGCCCCCCAACCTGCCCCTTTTCCAAAATGCCCTGTTTTTGTTCAGTGCCATACCAACCTTCCTGTTCAATTAAACATTTATTAAACATCCACCACGTGCCAAGCGCTGAGGGCAGTCCCTACCCTCAAGGAGCTTACACTCCAAAGAGGGAAGACGACACACACACAAAAGGAGACTGGAACGTGGGGAGGAGAGGGGACACCAGGGGTGCAGGGGCATCTTGTAACAGGAGATTCCAGTGCTGCCTCCAGTCAGCAGGGAGGTGATGAGTTCAGCCTCGGTGAGCGTATCCTGGGAGGGCCTCTTGATCTGTCCAGCTGAAATCAGGTTCTCAAATCTGGAGTCGCCCCCACTTCTCACCACCCCAAGGGGAGCCACGTTAGTTGACAGATCTTGCCAGTTCTATCAGCACACCTCATGTCTAGCTCTGGACCTCATCACTTTATGTCATGGCCAGCCTCCTCATTGGGTTCCCCCTGCCTCAGCTCTCCCCTACGCCCACACAGCTGCCCCAGTATCCCCTCGGCAACACTCAATAAACACTTGTGGGTCCCCATTACCTTTGAGATCAAATGAGAACCTCTGTGTTCCATGTTTGAAGCCTCACCCAACCTGGCTCCAAACTTGCCTTTCCAGTCTTTTTTTCTTTTTTTGTTTTTTTTTTTGGGGGGAGAGGCAGTCAGGGTTAAGTCACTTGCCCAGGGTCACACAGCTAGTTAAGTGTCACATGTGAGTTCACATTTGAACTCAGGTCCTGAATCCATTGTGCCACCTAGCTGCCCCCCTTTCTGGTCTTAATAGCATCCTCCCTGCCACACGTGCTACTGTCTAGCCAAGTTGGCCTTTCCTTCTCTTCATACGTGACTCTCGGTCTCTCACATGACTCAGGTCCTTAGCGTCCCCCCGCTTGGTTCCCCTCAAGCACCCTTTACAGTAGTAGGCCTTTCCTGACTCAGCTCCTCAGCTCTTGCCCTTTATGATGGCTACCATTTATGTATGGGCATTAAGGTTTGCAGAGTGCTTTACAAATATCTCACTGGGCCCTCACAAAAGCCCAGGGAGATGGGCATATTATTATCCCTATTTTACAGAAGGGGAAACTGAGGCAGAGCGGTGATGTGACTTGCCTAGGGGCACACAGCTTGACTTTGTATTCAGGCTTCCTGATTCAGGGCCCAGCCACCCACTGCCTCCAGTGCAAGTTCCTAGTCGGCTGGTACAGCCGTCACTCTCTAGCCGGGTACTTGGCACACAGTAGGCGCTAACTAAGTGCTTGATCATTGACAGGCCCAAGATCACTGGGCTAGTCAGTGACTGAAGTGACAGGGATAGAAAGGCCTCAGCCGGCCGCCTCAGTTTCCTCCGCGGCGGTAACCCGCGAGGGTGGGGCCAGGCGCTCTCGCTGCCGGCAGTCCAGGGAGGGGAAGGGCGGGGCGGGGCCTGGGAAGGAGGGACCCCTGCTGCGCCGCCCAGCCCTTTCCCCGGCGGGACGCGCAGGCGCATCTCGGTTTCCTGCCTCGCCGCTCTTCCCGGGCCGTGTGCGCAGGCGTGGCGTGCCCCAGCTCCATTGTTGCGTCCTGCTGCGCGTCGCGGCTCCGAGCCAGTCCCGGGGCTCGCGGAGGCCGGCTCCGGGCGGGGGCGGGGGCGTGCACAGACGCGTCGGGCGCAGGGGGGGGCGGTGGCTCGCTCTGAGGCGCAGGCGCAGAGCAGCGCGGAGCGGCCGAGGGGCTTCGTCGTTTGTCAGAGCCGGTGTCTGGCGTCTCCCGGCTCGTCATGGCGGACGAGGGCAAATCGTACATCGGTGAGTGCCAGGGCCCGGGCCGTAGGCGGGAGCCGCGAGCCCTGGGAAGGGGCCGGGGACGAGGCCGAGCCCCCCCCCCCCGCCCCGGCCCTGTGGGTCCGGGGAGCGCTGGGGAGCGGGCGGCGGGGGCGCGCCTCGAGCCGAGAATGGCACCCCTGGGATGGCGGGGACGCGCTCGGCGGGCGGGGCGCGCTCACGGCGGGATCGAGGCTGGGGGCGCGCTGTAACCGTGGGTCTCGAGCCCCGCCCCCCCTCCCCTTCTCGCGCCGGGTGCGTCCGGGCGGGAGGTGGGGCGGCCCTGGCGCGAGCCCTTTTCGTTTATCCCCGGAGGCGTGGGGGAGGGACGGCTTCGGCCCCTCCCAGAGGGCGCGTGGGGCGGGGACGGTTGCGGGGGGGGGTAGGCGGCGGCCGGGGGGGGGCCTGGGGCGAGCCCCTGCCAGCCGCTTAGTGACCTTGACTCAGTTTACCCACACGTGAAACGAGAGCACGCGTGCTGCACCGCAAGAAGCAGGGGTCGTCAAAGGGCGGCCACGCGTGGCCCCGTGTCTGTGTTTTCTTGTCTCGTCATTGGTCCGGTGGGTGTGCGGTGGGCCCCCCGAAGACCGCCCCGACAGAAGGGGCACTGCGCACCCCCAGACGGGGGAGGGGCCGGGGGAGGGGCCCGTGGCGCGTTCAGCGGGATGAGGGGAGGTGGGTGGGACGCGGGCGATGTTGCTTTGTAGTCTTCTAAGTCATTCTGAGTCCCCTGTCAAAGCGTGGGGTCCCCGACAGCTTTTCGGGGGTCTGACGAAGAGGTTTTCATTCCTGGCTGAACCCCCGGCACCAAAAATTCTTGAGGGCGTCCCTTAGCGTTTAAGGGTGTGAAAGGGGCTGCGACTGTTTGAGAACTGCCGACCTCTACAGAGGACGCAGATCCCACGGGGGGGGGGGTGGAGCAGGGGGCTCGCCATCCCCTCCCTGAAGACTGGCGGAAGGGGGGGGAACGTCGGACAGGTGGCTTCTGCTGGCTCGCCTGCCTGGCCTTTGCCGGGGTCGCACACCCAGGAAGTGTCCGAGGCCACGCGGGAGCTCCCCAGAGTCGCCAGGCTGCCTTTGTGATGAGAGGAGTGAGACGTGGGGCTTGAGGAGAGGGAAGGCTTGGAACTGTTGGCACCGCGGAGAAGAGCAGTCAGTAAGGAAAGAAGTCTTAGCGGTTGTGGTCAGAGCCAGGCTGGGCGCCGAGCGCTGCACTCCGCGCTTCCATCGGATCTCGGTGTGGGACCTTAACGGATGGGATCAAGACAGGCTC